CAAGGTGGGAAGATGATGGCTTGAGGCCAGGAGTTCAAGATCAGGCTAGGCAACATGGTAAAAACCTCATCTCTAGGGAAAAAAAATTAGCTGGGCATGGTGGTGCATGCCTGTGGTACTCAAGGCTGAGGTGGGAGGATCACTTGAGCCCAGGTTGAGGCTGCAGTGGGCCTTGATAGCACCACTGCACTCCAGCCTAAGTGACAGAGGAAGACCTTGTCTCAAAACAAAAAAAACTTAAGTGACAAAAGGCAGCACATAAGAGGGTTACATAATGTGATCTCAGGTTTAGGTGGAGCAGATTTTTTTCAAGAGATTAGGAAAAAAACTGTTAACAGTAGTTCTTTCTCAATGATGAGATTTCCAACTTTTCTACAAGAAATACTTGCAGGTTAGTGGAAGGAGTGCCTTCACAGACATTAACTCATGGTCCAAGTATCAAAGGGACAATATGGCTTCTACTACACAGCCTGTCAGTTTTGCAGTTTTCCTTTTAAAAAACAGAGGTGGAGAAGTTTTCAAAACTGCTACATCAGCTCTGGCCACTGTGTGACAGAAGGGGAACTGGAAGCAGCAGAAGCGGAAGTGTCCTCACACAAGGAGTAGGGCAGTACCACCCACTTGTCACATCGGCTGTCTTACCCCATCGTGCATTTCAAAGGGCTGCTTCTCATTCACGCACGACCTTTAGATTCTCTGATAATGGGCCCAGAGTGATCCGGGAAAAAAAATGCAGATACTGTGTAAAGCATCTAATGATATTACTAATAAATCACAGGAAATGAGCTTTTCTCTGGAAAACAGCAGCACATATTACAAATATTGATGAATTACTAATCCAAAAAGACTTGCAACTGCCACAGAACTACTTTAATGGATGCTGGTCCTTGTTTTCATTAACAGAAAATACATTTACGATTAAAAACGAAAGTTTTGAAACAATACTCAAAAAATTTTCTAGCAATGAAAAAGAAACCAAATAAATAAATAGGGGAAGATGGCAGCAGAGTAAATAAAAATAACAACCCTCAATATGAGTGTAAAGAAACGAACTCAATCATGTAACATGCAGGGTCACATTTTTGCAAGGTCATTTGGCCCACGATTCCCAAGATCCAGGAAGTAATCATAAACTGTTTTAACATACATATTTTTAAAAATTTTATTATTATTATTATTGAGATGGAGTTTCCCTCTTATTGCCCAGACTAGAGTGCAATGGCACAATCTTGGCTCACCTCAACCTCCGCCTCCTGGGTTCAAGCCATTCTCCTGCCTCAGCCTTCTGAGTAGCTAGGATTGCAGGCATGCACCACCACACCGAGCTAATTTTGTATTTTCAGTAGAGACGGGGTTTCTCCATGTTGGTCTGGCTGGCCAGGCTGGTCTCGAACTCCTGACCTCAGGTGATCCGCCTGCCTTGGCCTCCCGAAGTGCTGGGATTACAGGCATGAGCCACCATGCCCAGCCAACATATATATTTTTATTAACACAGGCTGTGTTGTTCAGAGTGTCTTCTTATAGGAGTTTGTAACATTTGACCCTTGCAAGAATAATTGTTCCAGTCCCTGACAGTTTCTGGATTAGCATCAATTAGTGAAGAGTTTCTATCCAAACAAGTAAAACAAGTTTGTTTGTTTGTTTTTTAACCTTAAAAAGAGAGGAATGGGGCGGGGCAGGGTAGGGGGGTGGTTTACAAATCAGAACAAAAGTCATCGAAGTAATTTCAGAGCAGGTGTCTGAATGCTGGCCGGATCCTGGAGCATGACCCTCGTGGGGCCGGGGTAGAAGGAGAAGGGTGAGGAGGGGAGTGGCTCCGTATCTCTGGGTGCTGCAGACACACTGTATTTACTGTATCATTAGCAGCAATGGTGCTAGCTTTTAAAATAGATGAGTATTTTTAAATCCAGTGCACATTTATAACCATATGTTGGTTTTTTTTTTTTTTTTTTTTTTTTTTTATTTAAACCAGGCAGGTAGAACATTAGGGCCCTGGATACTTTACCAACAATATGGTTTAGGTAGAAATGTTAGACACTGAAAAAACTATTGTTCATCATTTGATGTATTGAGTCACTGCCATTTTTAAACAGCATCTCAGCCCTAAACTTTTCCAATTAAAATTACCAAGATAATGAAGCCAAATTACCACTGTGAGACACTAATTTGCTGTACAAATTTGGGCAGTGAACAAATACTGCTCCATTAGAGATGTATCTGCTTAGTTTATTTAGTTACCATTTGGACCAAAAACATCTGGTACAGAGAACATGTTCTCCAAATCCAATAAAAGCTTTTAAGTTTCAGAACTACTAACCTCCTTCTATTCTAAGGCCTTGCAAAGAATTTAGCAAAAATAAATTTCATTCCTGTGGAGAAAAACTGACGGATATTTTCTTAAAAAAAGAAAAAAAAATGAACGTGGTCCACACACGTATAAGAAGACAAGGCCTCACCAGAGATTCTTCTGGCCCCATGCCTATAACCTCCATGAAACCTCTCTGGGTAACCACGCTCCCCAGGCTTGCCATGCCATTCAATCCTACCTGAAGTCCCACTAACACACTGAATTTGTTAATAAAATTATATCTAAAATGCAGTCTTCCCTGAAGTCTCTCAGGTGTTCCCCCATCCTAAGGCCCAGGCAACATTAATTCATTTGTAGTAGCACAGACTATAGGTAGGTGAATTGTCCAAAAGGTCAAACCTCTGCACTTGGCATCACCTTCAACAGTGATCCTTTAAGAATACTAATAGTTTCTGAATTATCTCTATTATCTATTTTATAGGGATGAGGTATAAGACAACTTGTTTGTCCTCAAGCATCAGACAGAGGAAGCACATACTGTTTTTAAAAAGAAAAAACTACTCAGTGATACTTTTTAAAGTACAGTAGGGCAGGCTTTATTCAGGACCATCTTAACACATATAGGGACCACTGCAGTGGGATTTTAGGTGGGGAAGGATTGAACTCAACTCCAAACACAGCATGGGCAAGTGGGAACTTATAGCCAAGGAACAGGGTGGGGATCGGTGCATGAAAAATTACAAAGCACAAACATCAGGTGTAGGAAGGCAATTCCTGCTAAAGACAGGTCAGGGTGACCAGATGTCACCTGGAAGATGGTGGAGGATGAGGAATCTAATCAGATTTGGGTGGGGTGGGGAGGCATTCTCGCTAAACTTAGTAGCGTGCTTCTTTGCTAAACCTGGATCTTAAAAAAAGTGCACACATGTGTGCGTGTGTACACACACACACACACGCATACACACACACACACACCCCACACCCCCAGAAGAAAGTTCAGAAGCATGACTTAAAGGTAGCCAAGCAAAAGTTTTGGGGTTTTTTTGGTCAATATACACACTAATTCAGGGGAAAAGGGCAAATGACATAGCTAATAAAGAAAAAGTAAAGTGCTGTGCATACTTTTCGGAAAAAGTAATTCCAATCAAGATAACCCAATATGAGGCAGTGTGGGAAATATGATTTGAGGGAAGAGAAGAAATGTGACAAAGAGATACCGCAGTGAGGGAGGGCAAAGAAGGAAGGAAGGACATTCCAGGAATTTCCCCAAATACTGATAAACAGGTCAAATTCCTTGGCACAGGAAATTACTTCATACCAAAAAGGTTCCTGAGTTCCAGCTAATTAATGGATTGTAAACAATGTTGTCCAAAACCAGAAAATTCTGCAACAATAAAAGATTTTGGACACTCACCAATTCATAGCACTGTTTCTAACATTCAGAGCCTTTAGGTATACCCTCCTAATTTTACCAGCACATAAGCCTCAATGTCTACTCAATGATTCAGCATATGTCATCTCAAGAAATACAGTTATTATCAGGAAATCAGAGATACCAATTTCACAGCCCCAGGCACATTTTGGATAGATTCTGAATATGTTTACATGTAATTGAGAAGAATCCTTACACTGTCATATGATCAACTGGGCCCCAAATTATCCTGCCTTTTGTAAACACTCCACAAACCTTAAAAAAAAAAAAAATCTAGTAACTTTTAAAGCTCAAGGTATCAGCATTTTAGAAAGGCTTTCCTCACATGTGAATCATAACCTCTCAAAGTTCTGTTTGTTTTTTTTGGGTAATGTTAAGTGTAAAACATTGATAGAGGGAAGCCAAAATACTGTATAGGAATAATCCAAAGTCCTTTTCCCGTACCACTTTACAAGTCTGAGTTTTCACAAACAAACTTTATAGCTGTTCAAATGCTAGATGAAGTAATCAAATAAAATACATCAGTATATACTGGGTAGTAATAAACAGACTACTGTCAGATGACATTTGCTTAATCTATAGCCTTTAAACACACCACAGTCTGGTGTGCTTGAATTACAGTCATGTGTCACTTAATGATGGAGATATATTCTGAGACAGGTGTCATTAGGTGATTCTGTCATTGTGCGAACATCCTCCAGTGTACTTTCACAAATCAAGGTGGCACAGCCTACTACACACCTAGGCTACACGGTATAGCCTATTGCTCCTAGGCTACAAACCTGTACAGCATGTTACTATACTGAATGCTGTAGGCAACTATTAATACAGTGGCAAGCATCTGCATATCTAAACACAGGAAGGGTATAGTAAAAACACGGAAGTCTAACCTCGTGGGACCACCGTCACACATGCAGTTTCACTGACCAAAAGAAACATCATTATTTGGTGCCATGACTGCATAGTGCTCCTTAATTCATCAGCAAGAAACAACAAAATTGCTGGTAAACATCAGTACTGATAACAAGATCTTAAATCTTTGTAAAAATCTAGCCTGGGCAGTCCAAATAGGACAAATCTACTAAACCATATTTTTCCCTTATATTAAAAAAAAAAAAAATTCTTTCTTCTAGAAGATATTGCAACAAAGAAAAAGAAAAAAACATTCTCTCAAAAGATTTCTCACGGGCACTAGTTTTGCTTATTTTCAGTACACGTACTACGTATATAACCAAGGCAGCTCCTTCGTTGCCTGTTTACCTGGGGATTTTTTGTTTGCTCTTGATTGCACCAAGTGAGACTGTCGAGGCAGCAAAGGTGATGAAGGCAGAGACATCGAGACACCTTTCGCCAGGCTCACCCTATAGGTGTCCTCTGCGGGAAGACTGCTCACAGGAGAGTCACCACCGTGGCCAAGGGGCAGGACTGGAGAAGTCTCAGTACCAAAGTCACCTCCTAGAGTGGAGAGAAGACACTTAGGTTAAAGCATCCATTCATTACAAGTTGATGCAAATGTAATTCCTATAAATTATATTCTTAGAATATCATTCTCGTATATCAGATATGCGTATTGATTTTTTTTTTAATATAACTTTTCCCCATTATTCTTGAAACTTTTTACACTGTGAAGGAAAACTCAGGCATCAGTGAACTTGACTCCACATGCCTTTCTGTACTACCCTAACTGAACTGATTTCAATCCCTAACAAAGGATCCAGAAAGCCACCGGTCTGTGATTAGATCAACGTCAAGTATGAATGATCCACAAGCAGCTTTGATTTCAGCTAAAGGAAAAGGACAGGGCTTCCTGGCCTTACACAGGTACCAGTAAAACAGATTCAGATGCCAACCTTTCCAGAACTCCTGGGCCTCCATTGTCCCTCTCTAAAAAAAAAAAAAGTCTAAGGGAGAGTCTAACCTACATCCACATTCCTCCCCAGCACCATCCCTCAGTTCTCTCATCCCATCTACTCAACACTCCCCATGACACGGGGCCACCCTCTTAAAACTCAACCAGCCCCAAACCAGTCACGGGATTAGAAACACTGCTCACTTATTAGGCAGCTTCCACTTGACACTCGGCCCCTAAACAAGCTTGGGGACAAACAAGCTTACCATTATGAAATTAAACATTTTACGGTAGGCAAAATCTCGAGAAGCAGAGAGGATGTAATCATCACAGTGTTGAAAGTATACAAGAAAGAGTATCCCGGCTGGAACTAGTCTCTCCCCTCAAAAAAAAAAACAAACCACTTTTCCTCCTATTGCCTCTCCCCACCAATCACCTTCCCTGCGTACTAAGATGGAACTGAGGATATGCAGGGAAAGAATGTAAATCATTACCTGCTTCTTAAAAAGCATCTTCAAACTCTAAGTCACAGACAGAATTTGGAAGATGCATAAACTTTCCCACAAGCACATCAGTCTTTGTGACAAGAGCTATCTGACCGGTCCTTGCCATGCCTTCCTGGCTCCAAAAACAAACAAAAAAAAACCCACACAGACACAAACACACACACACAAAATCAAGGACTAGATTTTTTAAAAAGAAAAATGAAAGTTGTCTAGCTAGGCAGGAACTAAATTTTTGCAGATTTTTGTGTACAAGGCTCAAAAGGGATACGAACCAAACCATCAAGTTTCAAATGCTATCAGTGTGCTTGTTTTTTTTGTGTTAGGAGTCAAGGGAAGTAGCGCCACCCTCTCCATATTTTTTTTTTTTTTTTTAAGAAAGAGTCTTGCTCTGTTGCCAGACTAGAGTGCAGTGGCATTATCTCAGCTCACGGCAACCTCCACCTCCCAAGTTCAAGCCATTCTCCTGCCTTAGCCTCCCGAGTAGCTGGGATTACAGGCGTGTGCCACTATGCCCTGCTAATTTTTTGTATTTTTAGCAGAAATGGGGTTTTACCGTGTTAGCCAGGATGGCCTCTATCTCCTGACCTTGTGATCTGCCCACCTCGCCATCCCAAAGTCCTGGGATTACAGACTTGAGACACCATGCCCAGTCCACATGCCTTACTTTTAAAGGCAACTCACAGCAGAGCAGTGAACAGAAAGGCCTCACAGTGGTGGCATCAGCAAAGAAGATAATTTCAGTCTTCCCTGGATTAGGTATGCCTGAGGTGGTTTTAATAAATTTGGGAAACTAAAGATTTATTGCTAATTGCCCAAATGACTGGCATTTGAAGAAAAAAGACATGAAAAACTCTCACTGGAATTACAAAAACAAGGACATTCATGCAAATGCCCGAGGCAAAGTTCTGTCCTCAAGGGAGGGAAGCAGGCAGAAGTTAGAGGCCTTCACCTCCTAGAACCTGTGGGGATAGCAATGGCCCCCAGGCTGGGCTCCCCACTCCTCACAAGCTTCATCCACCCTGTTTCCCTAGCCAGTACTGTAAGATACCATTACCAACAGTCCCCAGAACCACAGGGGCCGGTCTTATAGCACTGTCCATGAGCCTGGAATCTTTGAGAAACCACCTCGAGGCTTTCAGCCAGGTCACGAGGTTTCCCAGCTGCTTCCCCTCTTCAGCTGTCTGGCAAGGAAACAGATCTTAAGACAGAGCTGGGCAGCACCATGATGCCAGCTCACACTGGGGCCCGATGCCCTCTGTCCGACAAACTTGTAAAAGCTGAGGGATGGTTGTTTTCTCATCACCACGTTAGTCTCACGTTGAGAGTGCAAGCAGGTGCTGCGGCTACAAGAACCACATCAGATCACCCAATTCATGCGTGTACAGGCAAGAAACACCAGGAGACAGACCAGAACTTGGAAACTGCTGAGGCCACAGCCCCAGGACATTACACACAAAAGATGTGTAGGGGAACTTGAAGAGTTGACACTGGTTTTCCATGTGGTTTGAAGAGAGCTAAGTTGCCCTGTAGCTGTTCTTACACAATGTAAATCACAGACCCAGCCAGTCAAATGGCTGTGGGATGGCCTGACAGGCCACAAAGGTACTGTCTCCCCTACTCACAAATGAGTACTACTGACCTATACAAAAACAAATAAAAACCCAGATTTCAAGTCCTTTAATTTGGATGAGGACACAAAAGAATGGAGAAATACATGTACCACCACGAGAAATAAACAGTACTGAGATAAGGTTTATTTTCTTAAATACTTAGGATTCTCTAACATGGTAAAAGAGAAATTAGGCATTGAAGGGAAAAAGAGAATTAAAGAGTTTCCTAATTACAAATTCTGCCCATAAACTTTGTTTATATCATGCAAAGCAAATATTTTCATTAACTGCAAATGTGGTGGGGATGAGTTTCCAAAGCATACTGTAAGCATGAAGACCTTCAGCCTTTGGAGCAGCTGGGCTCCAGCACTATGATTTTATGCAGGCTGCAATAAAACAAGGCTTAAGAGTTGCAGGAAGGGGAGTTTCCATTTCAAGTTTACTTCACCATCTCACTATAATATCACTCTCAAACATGCTGTTCTGTTTGATTTGCTTTTCAGAAGCAATGAAAGATCTCTAACTTCCAGCATCTTTTTATTAGAAAGGCACCAAGTAGGGAGAGAAGTTTTATGTATGAGCAGGAAGCACAAAGCAGGGTGGCTCTGTTTTAAGTGCTCAAGGGCAAATGGTTTATGGTCAAAGAAAGACAGCATCACAATGACGCCAGGGGCGGAAAGTGCGCAACTTAGGGGCATCCACTTGAACGATACAATACTGGTTCTGGACAATACCAGAAATCCTCCGGTTAATATTCCTCAGCAGAAGCTCAAAGATGGTTAAGAGGAATTAAAGGTGTTTCACGGCAACAACCAGCACAGCTGGTACATTTTCTACCCCTTGAATAGATACTGTTTTCTTTTAACTATGACCTGTTTTATTCCCTACCTGATTAAGAAATGGGAAGCACATTTCAATCACCCTTCCTGTTGCTGCAGGCAGAAATGCCAGGTAGGACAATGCAACCTCTCTAGGGTATGAAAACCATGTTATCAATGACCAGTAATTTACCTCCTCTGCTTCACTGGCAGGCATTTCCTGTGGAACATTTACACACCACAGACAGTCACACCCACCAAATGTAATCACACGGTCTCCCAGATGGGAGGCTGGGGCCTGGGAAGTAACCCTGAGGAACAGGGACCACAGCTAGCACCACCTCACAACTGGTCAGCTCAGGCTCTAACATTCTTACCACTTCACACATTTAAGAGCTTTAATTGGGGGGGGGGGGCAGGGAACAGAGAACCCCCAAACAGACACATTTTAAATCAGTATTTTAAATATGAAAGGAGTCAGCACACTTTGCTGCAAAGGGTCTGATAGTAAATATTTCAGGCTTTGCAGGTTACATATAGTCTATTACTCATACACACACACTCCTTTGCTTCTTTTAAAATCATCAATTTCCTTAAGTCCAAAAATAAAAATACATAAAGGGCAAGGGGGACACACAGACATCTGTAAGAACCTCTCTGTTCATAATAAATAAAAATATATACCCATACAAATAAGTCAAAGTCATAGTTTGCAAAGATAACGGAATCATCAAAGGGCATAAAGCCATCCAATAAGGCATTTTAAATTGGCAGAAATGGCTTTGATAATAGTTCTTTATTTTAAAATGTTTTTACCATTACAGGCTATGAAAAGGGATTTCAGTTCATAATGGAAGAAAATGAGAATCTGGGAGATGAACGTTTAAAGGCAGCTATGCAGAATGGCAACATCCAACATCACAGATTAAAGTACATGGAGTGCAGGATTAGAGAAGGCTTTAAAAAATGAGGGCAGCGAAGGAAGGGAGATGAAAGTAAAAGCATATTTTAGGAAGGCAAGGCCTGAGAAAGGCAAGGGTGCGCTTAGACACTCAGGTAAATAGGTCTGCAGAGGCAGGAAATAAGATTTCCATTTGTTGTGCCACTGAAGTAGCTGGGGTGGGTTAGAAGCTTCGAATAGAAAAAGAAAGATGTTCTGTTTATCCAGCTCCAGAAAACGGGCCTTGTGCAATGCATTTAACTAGGGCATTAAATGTGTTACAGCATCTTTTGTGTAGTCCCCACCTTAGAGTGCACTGTTTTCTAAACATTTTCCATAGTAAGGTTTTATAACCACATAACCTGATATATAAATATACATATACAGAAACCTATATTTACAGAAAACTGAAAGATTTCTTCCACAAGATCCAGTATCATTTTTGGACCCTTCAGAAGGCTGCAACTAAAAGCACTTTAAGCCATTTTATGTCTTACAGAATCTTCTAATATACAGGCAGAGCATTTTCAAGATAAATGCATCCAAGAAAACAATTTTCAAAAACGTTATTCAGGCAATTATGACTTAAACAATACCACTAAGAGGCAAGAAAGCAGCTAACAACTAGGGTACAAGAAACCTAGCCAATAGGACAGCTTATCCTTTTGTCTTCAAAAATCCACCAAGTCGGATCTAAATAGACATCAGTAATACAGTCCTCATGGTTTTATT